TACATATTTTATAGTGAGTAATGGGTACTTTCCCGCAATTTAAGGTTTGCACTTAATTTCCAAAGGTCATGTTGTGTACCTACTCGTATTTTCATAGCTAGAAAGGTGAACTTTTCTATACTTTTTAAAAGAAATCCCAATCCATACAGCGCTCTGTATGATGCTAATTCACAAAAGAAACTAAATATATCGCTTGCTGTGGTGCTTCATGAACTTTAATAGAAAATGTGAAACCGATTGAATCGATTCTAATGGCAATTGAACTTCTTGGAAGATTCTTATAAAAGAAGAAAAGTTGCCAGGTTAGCTATTTGTATGAACAGACACTATCATAGAGCAATCTAGGAGCAAATAGGTGTTTGTTATCTTTTCATACCACATTTTTACGTACCTACATATCTAGGTCAGAGTGACGGTGGGTCAGCAGCAGTTTCTTTATTCAAACAAAACGTTTGCTACATTAATTTTTCCAATTTGCTTTAGAAAGCGTCTTTTCTATATTAATTCGGATCCATTGCTGTAGAAGACATTATACGTATAATATAAATGCTAACATTGTAACCTATTATGGCTTTTTCGTACCCTATTCTAAAGGGTTACCTTTACGCAAACGGTTTATGTATTTGGTCTAGTTATTCCTCTTGAATGGGTCCCGATCCTTCAGGATTACCGTGAAAATAGTAGTCTATGTAATATTCTGAAGTTTTTCTAATGAAAAATATTGAATTCGGTTCATTAATGCCGCAGCTCACTCGTTAATGAAATTAAACAAACAACAATATAGATAATGACATCGTACAAACAACAGAAGGTGTAGATAGAAATGCCCATTTTGGGTCGTGGACAACCCGCCCTCTACGTTTGATTCATCCACTCCAGCACCTGCCGACCTACTAAACTCTGCTATTGTAAAGCTAGATATAAATTTAGTTTGTCTATGCTCGTTCATGCATTCAATCTAGATAATTTTGTGACGAGACACTGTTAACTATAAACTGAATTAAAAGTTTTCTGTATCAGTGGGATAGGCCGACGTAGAGAAGGTTTAGGAATACTTTTAGTTCATTTACTTTTTGGCATTAAACATTGTGTGTATGTTTAGTATAGGTAGCTATAACGTTTTGTAAAACAAATAAGATTATTTGTACCAAATTCCAATACTAGAGGTAATAAAATTTCTCTTATAAATACATCAGACAAATTGAATTTGATCGGACTGAGGAGAAAAGAGAAATAATATTATAAAGCAGCTGGATAGGCAATGAAATGTTTGTGTTTTATGTCCGTTTCTGTCTGGAGTGTTTCCGAGGCATTGCACTTTCTGAGAGAACTTGTCTGAAGCAAAGGCTTCAAGTGCTCTTACCTATTTTATGAATATTTTCATTTCATAACCGAGCATCGTCGGATTGTGTCTACGTTTTATTTTCTTTTAAGATTTACATTCCGTTTATGCTTTCAGTCTTCGAATGTTACGTAAGTGTACGTGTTACGGAGTGTTGGGAAAAATATGCAGAATATTCACAACAACATTGCTATTTCGAAGTAGTTTACATTCAATATGTTTTTAATGCACGACTGCCAAGCACAAAGTCCCAAATCTGATCTGCAGTTCGGGTAGTGTTATCGGGTTTTTCTATTTCGATGTTCTCTATAGGAATAGTTTTTGTGGCCCTTTTACGGTAATAGACTCGACCCTAATACTGATAAGTGATAATAACGTATTTTCTTTCCACCTTGACCTATTTCTTCAGGGGAAGTCAAGTATATGTTACATATGTTTGCCGTACGTGTTGACAAGGGCTAGTAGCAAAATTCTGAGAAATCGCGACTGACAGATATTAAATACTTATTTTCTATAGTCCTTATCACTTAGACAGAGTATGATATTGTTTATCCTTACTAATATTATAAATCGAAAAGTGAGTTTGTTTGTTTGTTTGTTCGTTCCGCTTTCACGCCGTAACTACTAAACCGATTGCTTTGAATTTTTACAGACGTAAAGTTAGAAGTCTGGATAAAATAATAGGGTACTTTTTATCCCGGAAAAATGTGATATTCCCGAGGGAAAACAAAAGTATTGGTATAGATGGCGCTGTATGTATGTCCTATATGTCACATAGGCTACTTTTTATCCTTTTGTGACGCGAGCGAAGCCGCGGGTAAAAACTAGTACCAAATAACATATCCTCTTTTTTAAATACCTAAATAAACCTCTCAAAAGTATTATGAACCAGTACCATAGACTATTATCAGTTGTGTTGGAATTCGTCCTGCATTATACAATCGAAAACTCGACATAAGTAATGCCGCGGATAAAAAGCGAATATGAAATATGGTAATATTTGCAATTGCAATTATTAAATAAAACACACACGGCTGCAATTGTCAGGATCCACCGGATGCTGGTCAAGAGGAAACGTTCTTATTATAATGATGAGAATATTGACTACCACCTTTTCAATTGATAAACGAGGGGTCGACTAAAGATGATACTTTTTGAAACCCTTTTTTATTAGACAATGGCTTTTATTATTTTTTATTTGAAATAAAGTTGTCCCCGGTACTGGGGAGTAGGGTCACGAAATGAGAGCAAAATGCACACAGGTACATACAGCCTGTCTGTACTTGCTCTTGCTCAAAGAAATGGGCAGGCTGTTATGTTGGACGATATTCAATCGGGTAGTGTCCTCGGTAAAAAATAATAATTAAAAAATATTCACACTTTCCATTGGTTGATTTTACGGTATAATTAACATTCGTACTATGTTCGGGAGTTTACTTATTTTTAAGAATCATAACGTTTTTGACATTTCTTAGAAGTTAAATTGTTATAAAGTTAAAATGTCGTGGTGGCCCGGAGGTTTAAGACGCCCACTTCTCATGTATGAGGGTGCGGGTTCGAAACCTACCATCGGCAAGTACCAATGTGACTTTTTCCGAGTTATATGTACTTTCTAAGATTATTTAGACACCACTGACAAACGGTGAAGGAAAAACATCGTGAGTAAACCTGGACTTATAATTTCTAATTATAAGTTTGAAATCGCCAACCCGCATTGAGCCAGCGTGGTGATTAATGCTCTAACCTTCTCCGTGTGAGAAGAGGCTTTGCTCAGCAGTGGGCATTTATAGGCTGTTGATGATGATGATGAAATTGTTATAGTTTAGAATTTCCCTATATATTATATATTTTATGTTACAGAACCCATCATATCGCATATTCGTTTTTTCTGTATGTATTTTGACTCATTATGTTGTGTTTCGGGTCGATATCATAATTAATTTTCAAGTTGGTACTTAATTTTATTCATAGATCAAAATCCTGTATTTCAATACATCAATATTGAATAGCCATACCATACCAGTGAATAGGGACGGAAATATCTGAAGAAAATCTTGAATAAATATTTCTTTTCACTGAGAGGAACGAAGTATTAATTAATATAAGCGACCTGCTCCAGTTTCGCGCGGGTGTTGTTTCTCCAGTTCCCCTGTTAATACCCAGATATTTCATATAATAAAATACAGTTACAAAAAAGAATATTTTAGTTTGGTTCTGTTCCTGAGTTATATCCTTAAGCATTTTGTAAATTAGTTTTATTTAATTTAATAATCCTTCACGTGCACGTGGTTTCCCATGCAAAGAGTTTTACAGGTTTCTCTCTAGATTGTTTTAATCCTGTAGGATTATCGATATGAAATGAGAAAACAAACTTTGACTTTATATACTAAGTATAGATATGAAAATACGTGTTTCCTTGTACACCTGGATAATGTGATGTTATGTCAAATAATAATTTAAAAGAAACTGAACTTTTTATTTAGCAAGTCGAGTTCGTGGTGTCACGCATAGCGACATGCTTTTTACTGTAATGTCAACACTGGCCACTTTAATTTGTTAATTATTAACTTATTCTACATTCGTTTCGTAAAAAAAGACTGCAGTAGGCAGGTACTTAATAGAGAGCATTTGATTTATTGCAGAGAATAATCTATATAAAACATTGTTAGTCATTGTGTCACATTTGATAACAGCTAGTACCCATTTCGTATTTTTTTTATTCTGCCTATTTTATATAAACACAAATCTATTTTAATGAAGCATTAGTCTTAAAGGAATCAAAACTACGTCAAACAGATGATTTGATAGATCGACATTCAGTTGTTATTTCGTTGTTCTTGATTTGAAATACCCATAGAATATTAAAAAAAAAACGGGACACGGTATATAAACTTATGATCATTTTATTCGGAAACGGCTTGTACGAATTTCCTGATTATTATGTATGAAGAAAGAATCCATTTTGAATTTTTGATATCGCTAGTTCATTGTATAGTTTGCTATGTTTAAACTTTAAAATATACAAGTCAAGTTTATCATGTTATTACAATTTCCGATGTGAATTCATTCAATATTGATTGATGTTAATGTATGAACCCGGGTATTTCCTAAAATATCGACAAGCCACCGACGAATACACGATTTTTGATAACTGAACAGTGATACTCGCGCCACCTGTCAAGGGTATAAATTATCGCAAACCTTCCTTTAATAAGAAGTATTCAGAAGCAATCTGCAGAAAATCTTCCAGTGCCTTCGTCCGTCTAGCTAGGTCGAGGCAAGAGGGAGTGTCAGAATCTTACAGACTAAAAACGACCTCGTTATTCAGGTTATAACTTTCGTGAGACATAACTAAAGTTTAATAATTATTTTAATTATTGAATGAGGAACTCGACTAGTTTCAAGCCGTGCTAGAGGCTCATATTCATGCGCGCATGTTGCGTAGCTTCGCGACAGTCGCCGCGTCGTGAGTCGCGGAATGCTCAAATACATAATAATTAAGCTACCGTTACTACTTCTGCTTCGAGCCGAAGCTCCTGCAACCCGCTAGGTCTTCCGCAGCTACATTTGGGCATCGGCCCAATAAACATCCCCTGCGGCAATGAACGTCTTCCAGTTACTGATGATGATGACGACGATGAATGTATTTTGTTTCAGAATGCCAATCCAGGCGCCTCAATGGACGGATTATTTGAACTGTCCAGTGTGCTGCCGCGAATTTGGCGCTCCGCCCCGCAGTCCCATTAGCCTTGGGTGCGGCCACACACTATGTAGACACTGCCTCAAACACTTACATAGGAAGCAATGCCCGTTCGACCAGGTAAGCACACATATATATGTCTAATATTTATATGTATAAATGTATATGTCTAATATGTTTAGAAACGTGTGAAATTGCACACTGCTAAACAATTAGTATAACATTGAGCTCTAGTTTGTCAGCGATTGGTATAACTCCACTTCGAGTAAGACTAGAATTGAACCCGGTGTCGACCATAAGACTAACCTGACTAGTCACATTTGGGTAAATCCCCAACAAAAAAATCGTATGAGGAAGTCGTATCATTTATCTAGGTACCGCCATCGTCTCTAAATGGCACAAATTATTGATTCGTCCTTTTAGATTTTTGTAATAGGTATTATTTAGTTTTTGTCTCACAGGGTGAAGCAGTTATTAATATATTTTATATATGAGCTATACAGTCTGTTAACTTTGCCTTAAGTTACTCTCATCGTAGTACCCAAGAGGCTTTGGTATTTATAACTAGGATTATTAATTTCCAAGCCACTACGGGCTAAGTGTCGTGAGTCTAGACTCTATCAAGATCGCTATGATTATTTTTGGCTTTCCCTATAAAAATCGTTAGAAATAATAGTAACAGCTATTGAATTTTAATAAATTATAACGTAGATTCTATAACGTTGCTAATTTTTACTTGTCGGTTATGTTTCTTTTTAGTTGTTAAATCTATTGATATTGTTAGTCACGGAGAACCTAACGGGTAACCGGGGCTCCGGGTCGACGTGCAGGAGAAGGAACGGGGTGGTTTTTAGTCAGTAAGAGTCTGACACTCCCTCCCGCCTCACCCAGGCGGGAGCAGTCATTCGATGATTATCCCCCCTTAAAAAAAATGATATTGTTACAATTATTTTATATACTTGGTCAGCGATCACCAAAGATACTGAAGTTAGTATTTCAGTCTTAAAAACCTAAATGGCAGCAGATCTAGTTACTAAAGCTATAATTTTGACGCAAGCTCCATACAAAATGGGAATCTACCGACATCTTGGTGAATTGGACAACAACCGTTTCTCGATACATGTGCAAAAATCTAGATAATATTAAGCAAACTGACCGTAAGTTCAAGTAAGGACATTTCATAAATGTTTTATGTATAGCTCCTCCGAGTAAACAACCTCCCCGTCGTTTTTAGATGCAGTCTGCTTCAAATTCCGAATAAATTAAGCAAAAGACTAACTCTTTACAGACAGACGCATGTAAATTCACCAAATGGCGTCATTGCCATCCTGTCGTGGTATTGGCCTTGGAATATATCTTCCTTCATTTACAATCACACCATTTTCTCATGTATGATCTTTGATCAAGGTGAAAAGGGAAAATGGTCTATGAATAACCGACAACGTTAGAGTAGACCATCCTATAAGTAGCCTCTCCTCACACGGAGAAGGTTCGAGCTTTAATCACCACGCTTCCTCAATGCGGGTTGGCGGGTTTAAACTTATAATTATTAATTATAAACCCAGGTTTCCTCACGATGTTTTCGTTCACCGTTTGTCAGTGGCGTCTAAATAATCTTAGAAAGTACATATAACTCGAAAAATTCACATTAGTCCTTGCCGTTGGTAGTTTCAAACCAGCACCCTCTTGCATGAAAAGCAGGCGTCTTAAACCTCCGGACCATCACGAACAAGTGCTGTTAAATAATTATCATTTTCCTCTCCACAAAAATAGGGCGTAAAAAGGCTTTGTCCGTCTTCCGTCTCATTTTATGGTGCTTACTCACACCACGTGGATCTATAATTAAGCGCCCTTGTAAGAAATTGTTTTATTTTCCAATGGCTTTGGCCAAAATTCGTAACCCCTTAAAAATAGGCGTTTAATTGTTTACCAAAAATAATTTCTTTGTACTCGTCCCGAAAAGTTGCTGATAACTTACAAGTACTCCCTTCTAGTTACCCAATTAGCATATACCTACTTGTGATGTCCACGTGTTCTAGCATGCCAATTGAAGGGGAATGAGAGGGGTCTGCACGTGGAAGGACGGTTGCTTAATCCTGTTCAGGAACGCTGATAAAATGTTCCCCTAGCGGCTCAGTATTATTTACAATTTCAACCAGTTTATAACACTTCCAATTAAGTATATTTTAGCTTCGGGCGTTTCAGTCGGTTTCCGTGTCTGTGGATTAAAGTATATTTTTAATTTAAACTGTCAAACACCAAGCGGTCACCGGTGACCGCGACCCATTGTTCTTTAATTGTGTCTATAAAACCGGTACTCGACGAGTTAAACGTCAAGGTTAATTTATAGTAATCGATTTTTTAAAGTCGTCCTCTGTCACGCACTGGATAGCCATGGATTGTCTACTGCCATTACAGTACATATATACTTGGGCATGGATATACACTTGGCTGGTCAAGTTCTACAGCAACTATCTCATAAATAAAATACTCAGCGTAAGTATCCATGTATTTAGCTCTAATGTGATTTTCTGAAAAACCTAGTATGATACGTTTCTACAATCTTCCCACCCCTAATTAACGATGTGTAAGGAAACTTTCCATCGCTGCTCTCTTCTATTGCATTTTAAAGTTGTATTGATATTATAACAACAAGTAGATATTTTTTCGGTTCTCGGTTGTTTGGTTTTGACTTGTTAAAACGTATACGTTCACCGTGTAGTTGAAGGTATAAAACAAAGCCTAAAAATGTTTGTTAGGTGAGGCAAATTACATACTCCGTCTAGTTTATGTTTACTAACTAGGGAGCAGCCGCCACCTTCCCACGCACTATAACGCTGAAACCTAAAACTTATACCAAACAGCGCTCTGTGACCTTGAGGAAGGTAAATACGCTAAATCCAATAACTAATCAAATATTCTAATAGCTTGTGAACTTGTACATTCAGACTCTTGATAAATAAGAATTTTCAATATTTCTTGAGCAGCCAACATAGGCTTAAAAATTAAATAGTATTAAATACGCGGAGAGCTTATTAGATTATTTTCCTTGACTCGATCAATGTTCTGATGAAGTTGAAGCATAAAACTACTTTATATTGACTGCGGTTGACGCTAATTTTACGTCTAATACATACATAATGTTTTTCTTTCTCGGTAAACAAGCGCTTAAACATAATTCGGCTCAACAGCACAAATAACGAACGAAAGAAGAACTACGTACCAAAATAACCCAAATCTTTAAAAAAATACCACAGATCCAAAGCGAGTTTTTGTATTCGTTCATTAACATTTTCAGCAATATAAAGCGAGAGAAACCTTGTTTGAAGGGAGAAAATATCCAATGACTTCTCCAGCCTTGGGTGAGACGAGACACCCTGACACTCAGGCTCCTATTGACTTATCTGTCTTAAAACAGCATCCCCTAGTTCATTCTTAGTGAATTAATAAGGTCGAAACGTTGTACAGTCTCTTCTTTGTGCCGATTGATTCACCGAGGGAAGTGGAAACTATAGTTTTTTCTTCTTCTTCTCTTATAATATCTTCTGATTCACTTCGTTGTGGGAACCAAGACAGTTACTCATGTCCCTGGGACGCGCCGGACTTCAATGTTCCGGTGTTTTCATGGTTGTATCTACTGTAGATCCTGGCTTACAGGAGTTGCAGCGGTATTGGGAGGTTGTGGCGGGCTTGTCCCAAAAAAAAGGTCGAAACGAAGTCGAAATTGAAATGAATGGCCGAAATTAATAATTTCAAGCTGAAATCAGTGGATAATAACGATTTTTATTTTAGTTAAGACAGAGCTTTTGGCAAAAAGAAATATAGCTTCAGATATTTTGGATTAAGATGTTTGATATTCAAAAGAAACTGAAATTTGTTTCCCTGGAAGCACAGTGCTATCTATCGACTCTACTCGACTTTACAGTAGTAAAGTTGAGTTAGATATATATATAAGTAGTAACTTATATTATATCAATTAAGTATTCGTTATTATCAATTTATCTCACCTGAAATTACAATAAAACAACAATTACATAACATAATATCCCCGGAGGGTGTAGGAAGAGGTGCACATTACAGTACTTAATGCCACTGTACAATGTAACACCCACTTTTCACTATTTATGTCATGTAAAAGGGAGTGAGCCTATTGCAATATACCGCACAATTCCAGATACCGTGCTACTACTGAAATTAAAAAAAATCGCAGTTGTGTGTTGCGCGACCTTGGAATCGAACCCAAGACCCCTTGCCCGGCAGTCGCACTTGCGACCACTCGGCCAGCGAGGCATTCTACGACAATTAAAGTTCACCAATACCGTTCCTTAAATTATTGACATTTAATTATGGGGTTACCTAGCTCCTAACATTCTATAAATTTATAAAACAGAATACGAAACTGTTATCACGAAAAAAATCGTCAACTGTAGATGTAAAACTTTCTTTTTATATGACAATGCGCCATAATTGACGAGAGGCGGAGGATCCATTGAGACCAGCGATGAATTGGGTCAGCGCAGCGTCTTTAGATACTCAGTCCGACGTTTGTGCAGTATTGGACACGTTCTTTGTTGACCACTTAGGTGTATGTGCTTTTGTGCTTTGGACCTAGGATTTGTCTCCAGTCGTTCAACCTGAACGGTCTTCGGTACCTACTTCGATACTTTGTCTGATTTTTTCACGACTATGGGACGACGCCGAGTTGGGAGGCGAGCACGCAGGAAAAGCTTTGAGTGGAGTGACCACCTACCAACTTTCCTTGCTTCTTTAGATGTATGTACTCCTAATTTTTATAAAAAATGCATGTTCATTCGGATATTTCCTAGGCTCTGTTGCCACAGTCATATCCCACTTATTAGGTTAATTAGTGAATTTTCCACTTAACACGTGTTAGAGTGAAAACATAGAAATGTTCGGAATAACGCACGTGCGTCACATGGTTTTCGTCTGTGCCCTGTAATCATTGCCCAATTTACGGTGGCAACCATTTCATCTGTGAATTGGATAAAAATTGTTAGATGATTATGACGTGCAATACAATTTTTTGTAAGCAAGCGAAGTAAGGCATTTTGATTTATAGTATCCTAAAAAATTTAATGAAAGTATCTACTCAAAATTTT